ATCTAGTATATGTCTGAGTCAAGCAGAAAAGGTCAGATAAGGTGAGGTTAGGGAAATGAACCTTAAGATATGTATTCAAATGTTTTTTTTTCTTTCATGCAATTGTTTCTAACACATTTATAAGATGATTTCTTTGTTGCTTTGTATGTCCCTCCCCCACAGTATAACCCCTGTTTTCACTGTATTTCCTGTCAGTATAATTTATGGAGGGGAAGGGGAAAAACAAATCGTTTAAATAGGGATACAGGTGGACCTATTGCAACAATGAGATGTACAAGTCATTATGTCGAAAACAAACTTTACAACTTTGGTGGGGGCTTAGCTGGGGGGGGACGGGGAGGATTGTGTTGGGGGGTCGGGGGGAGGATGGGAAGGGATGGGAAGGGGAAACAAAGGAGGAGGCTACAATGCTTGATAAGAAATGTACTCATTATCTTACCCATGTAATTGTAACACCTCTGTACAGTATTTTCACAATTAAAAAAAAAGAAAAAAAGAATTCATGGTGTTGCTTTTAACTATTGAGTACTCATTTTCCCCCCTTTCTGCTTTTTCAGTCCCATCCATCCTTTGTACTTTGTTTGAAAACATCATAGAGGCTTTTGCTTGATCCAAATAATCCATCTTATTTTGTGGTACTGAGACCCTCACAATTGTAAGATCGGTGGTGTTGTACCACTTGTGTGGTAAACCCTTTTTGTGTTGGTTAGTTTTTGAGAGAGGGTCTTCTTTTATGCCCAAACTTGACTGGACTGTGATCCTCCTATTTGTATCTTCCTGTATTGCTTGGATAATAGGTGTGTATCACCATGTGCTAGCTATTGGTAAAGATACAGTTTTGTGACCTGACTTTTTGCCCAGGCTGGGCTTGGACCACAATCTTCCTATCTGTACTCCCCAAGTAGCTGGGATAGGCTTGAGCCACCTGTTTCAAATAATCTACTTCTGAGAGTCCTGATATTTCATATAATTTCCTAATTTATTTCCATAATTCCAGGTAGAATTCCCCTACCTCTATAGCGCAGGCACAATGCTGATGTTCTCCACTAGAGTTCATTTTGCCCAGGCAGTTACATTCAGGGACTTTATGAATACTGACTCCCTGTTTCATTTACATGGAGTGGTCTGGTTGTAGACTGGATATTAAGGTGATTTTAGCTGTTAGATTTAAATGCCAGCCCAAGGTAGCCAAACGCCATAAACTAGTAATGGAATGCAGCAGCATAAAGCACAATAAATTCTTATTGCCCATGGCTAAAATGAGACAAAATATTATTCCAGAATAAGAGAGAAAAAAAAGTAAAGCTATGATGGAAAAAAATACGAGCAGATTGACTTTTCCAGCATAGAGAATGGCACCTGAGTGACCCCAACCAGTCATTCAACTTGAAAATAAACAATTGCAGTACATTTTGCTAGTTACTAGGCTATGATGAACAGTTATGGTAAGCTTTCAGAGTGATGAGTCTAAAGTAAAGAAATTCACAATGCACACACTTAATTTGGAATAAGTTTACATTTGGAAGCCAAAGAAACCATGCAACTCGAAACTTTTGTGAATTCTGATCAGCGTGATATGGAAAAATTTAATGCCAAGCTTTTGTCAGTATGGGAAACAGAATAGAATGATTTATTAAATGGATCTGTGTCTTTTACCCAGATCCGAAATAAAGAAATCAGAAGCTTTCTCCATATTCTGATAAGCTAGGAGGATTCTTCACTAAATTCAGATCATAACGATCATTGAAGGCAATCTTTGTGCTCTCAAATTCTAAATTCACAAGGCTCCTCTCCATGTTGATAACTCCTCACCAATTTCACTGGTAATCAATTGGCCTTTGTTCCTTGCTAAATGGTAGACAGAAGAATGAAGATACTTTAAACTTGGAGCCAAGGGAATAAATGTAGCTATTAGAAATGATCAACACTTGGGTTAACATAGTTGGTGTGAAGATTTAAAAAAGCTTTCATTATTATGATTTTTTTCTTAGATTCACAGCATAACAGGAACAGAGAAAGGTACAGAGATCTCCCATATAATCCTTGTCCCCACACACATACACACTGCCTCTTATACCTCAGACCTTTGGAAGAAAAGGGATCTGGCGAGAAGACTCCTGGCATCTCCATGATTGTGGGGTGAGGGACATAGGGTTTGGATGTACAATTTCTTGCTGTCAGAAGGCACCAGCACATAGAGGAAAGTGGTGAAAGTCTCCAGTGCTTAATGTCAGGGAGGTTTTGTCCTTAGGAGTTTGCTTGGCTATACTCCGCCTATAGAAAGCTGGTCCAGACAGATTCACTGGCATTTAGAGTGTGCTGACCCCATAGTTTTATCCTTGAAAGCTGATTATAACTCTCTCTCTTTCTCTCTCTCTCTCTCTCTCAGTGGAAGGAAGGTGTAGGGGTGGGCTGGGACACTGGGAAATAGTAAGCAAGAGGGGGCAGGTATAAAGGAGTGATCTTCCAAGTTCAGTAAGTCATCCTGATGGAAAGGATCTGGGCTGTGGCATCAGCCCAAGAGGACTCAGAAAGGGGCCATATTGGAATCTAGACAAGCTATAGAGTCCAGACTAAGAGCTGCACTCACCTCATGTGGAAAGTCAGCCAAGTTTCCACTGGTGAGTCTGGATTCTGTAGGCAATTTAGTGATTTCCTGTTGGCCACCCCCCACCGCTGCCTCCCTCCCACCTGCAAGCAGTCACCCATCCATAAATCCTGTCCAGCCCTGGATTTTTGCCCAATGTTTCAGAGGGTTGGACTCACCAAGGAGTGCAGAATTCCCAGGATCCAGGACCAGCTGTGTTCCCAAAGGAGACGTCAGCACCGAAGGAAGGTTCGGTCCAGTGGCTGAGAGCAAGGCTCTGATGTCTTCCAACTGTGTAGGGACTTGAGGGGGATCTGTAAGAAGACAGATGGTGAATCAGGAGGTTAAATCACACAGGCTGTATTAAGCGGTGTCAGGGAGAGAGAAATGGTAGGCATGTATGTGTGTGTATGAGAAGGCATTATTATTATTGCTATTATTGATCTTAATATCATTTTTCCTATAGAGATGATCAACTTAGCAAGGGAAATTCATGATGCCTGAATGAACAAGGTAACTCATAAGATACAGGCACATTAATTTCAGGAGTTCCTTACTTTATATCATTTTAAACCACAGCAACATTGGATCCTTATAACTTTGTACATAAATTAAACCATATTATTTTAAAGACACATTTTAAAAGGCAACTTTAGCATTTACTTTACACTAAGCCATGAGATTAATAGTTTTCATCCCATTTTTCATTTAACTCTTATACCATCCTTCATAGTGAAAGACTTCATTATTGTTCCCACAGAAATACTCCTCAAGAATTTCTTACTTAAAAGATTTTGTGAGTGGGCCTTTTCCTTCTTTCTCCCCCTCGCTCCCTCGCTCCCTCCCTCCCTCCCTCTCTCCCTCCCTCCCTCCCTCTCTCCCTCTTTCCTTTCCCTTCCTCCCTCCATCCCTCTCTTTTTCCTTAACTTTTTGTTAGCAAAGATGTATTACTTAAAAGAATTTCATTGTGATATTTGTAACATGCATTAATATACTTTGCTCATACTTATTCCCCCTTTATTATTCTTTCTCAACTACTCCCTCTCCTCTCCTGTCATTTTTTTCCCTTATGGGAAAAATCCAGTTGTAAAATTATTTTATTTTGTCATGGATTTTTATGCCTAAGTAGGACTTTGACAAATAGGACTATGGGATGCTTGATTATTCAAAATCTTACAAAGAGTCAGGGCTTAAGCCATCAGAGACCAAGTTAACCAGAACTAGAAATGGAAGCTGTAGCCACTTGTTATATCCAGTGAACAAATGAAAGGGCAGCACACACTGAGCCCACTAGCAGAAGACTGCCCACACTCCCAGGGAGGTAGCAGCATCCCTTTGCTCCTTGACCTGTGTCTGCTGAGGCACTGTTGTTCCCGCTTCCCAGGCCAGCTGCTGCGTATTTGGAGAAGTGCACTGGAGGTGCACTTATGGAAGTGGAATGAAGAGCAAAAATATTGCTTTTGTAACGGATGGCCATCTTAACAAGTTATGGCGAGGACCCTACCATGTCCTTAGCACTTGTTACAGGTGGTAAATAAGCATCAGTGGAAGCCAGTCTACTTCAGAAATACACCTCTGCCTTTGCTTGTTAAAGATCATCATCTTGAGATTACACAGCTATTCATGAAATACAGTTTTTAAAGAACTCCCTTTGAAAGGTGCACATGACTGCTTGCATCCAGTAACCCTTGGTTTAAACTATGGCTCCACCTGTCACTTAAGCCCATTGGGCTTCTTTCTTCTTTTTTTTTGCGGGGGGGGGGCTTATTTCTTCCTCGGTAAAATGGGTTCCTTTCCAATGTCTCTTTTCTTCTGGATACATGATTTTGGGAACTGATGATGATAGTTTACTCAAAACTGGTCTCTCTTCCTCCTGACCTTTGTAATGTTCATTCTTGAAACTCAAGAAGACTTTGATTATTTACTGAAAGCAAAAAGGGGCTATGTTCCATCTGTAAAACAAGTTATTCTCCTTGGGCCAAAAGTCAGTCCCTACCCATGTCTTATAGCTTTTTTGGGATTTCTCACTTTGGTTCAGTGCGCTTGGTCTTCCCAGTGAAAGTGTAAATTCTCTAGGGGGAGAGATTGGCTCTTACATTACTCCTAAAACTCTACTAGTGTCCAGCTGACATAGACTTACAGGTAACACTTAATGGATATTCATCTAATCACTATGAAGAAATGTATGTTTGTTTCATTATACTTCAAGCCTTCATGCTATAGTTAAATCACAGACTTGGCATGAAGTTTAGCTTTATACACAAAATCCCTCTCTTATTACTTATGCCATGTTTTTTTAACTGATAACATAGACATTTTTTCCATGTTCCTAATGTTAGCTATGAAAATAAATCATCTTTAAGAAGTCAACCTTTTTTTTTGCCACCACCAGGGTTTGAACTCAGTGCCTTATATTTGTTCTCTTTGTTGGTCTACCACTTGGCTCATGTCTTCATACCAATTTTTTGCTGGTTAGTTTGGAGATGGAGTCTGTCAGACTTTTTTGTCTGACTAAGCATCAACCATTATTCTCTGAATCTTAGTCCCCTGAGTAGTTAGAATTACAGGTGTGAGTCATTAGCATCTGGTTAAGAAACTAAGACTTCTGATCAAGAAAAGCTCTAAAGTTGACCCTTAATATTCCCTCCTCCCATCATATTTGATTAAAATGGGGAAGACTTGATGCTCTATGAACACTATGTTCACAATCACACTGTATTAGAGTTGGAATAAAATTAGAACTGGCTCACAGCGTGCACACACACACACACACACACACACACACACACACACACTTCACTGGCAATGCCGCCACAGTAGCAGTGACCATCTTTAGGCTTTCATCTCTGTTACTAGAGACAACAAGGAAGTGTTATTAGGGAGAAAGAAGCCATCAGTAAGCACTGTAACTCAGTGGGGCAAAAGTCCCTGGGCTCTAGGCTCCAGACCAACAGCCCAGCCACATGAAACCCAATGCAAAACAAATGACATCCTTCTTTCTCTGAGCCAGTTTTCTGTGGCTTCCTATGATGGTTGGAGGTTTCTGTACCCATGGGGTTTCATCTAAGCTGGGCCTCTAAACTCTGAGTGGGCAGGGGTGAGAGAACCTGGGTTTTGGTATCATATCAACTTTGGGTGTGAAAATAGAAGTGTAAAGTTTAATTACTTTCCTCTGAGGAAGTCAGTAATGTATGTTTATGAATGTGTGTGGGACATGTAATTATTATTTCTCACATTTTCCTTCCCTCCTCCCCCTAGAATGACAGCTTTCTCTTGGTGAAAAAGCTAGCATAAGTACTCTAATAATTGCTTTGTTTAAAAAAGCAGGAATACTCTCAAAATAAAGCTTTGTAAAGAACTCTATCTCACCAACTACTAGACTCAGTGGGAAGGAAAGCAGAAAAGTTTGCAACCTGCAAAATGGCTGAGCCACTCCTGAGCAGCAGCTGGTAAATAGTTGTCTGGCAATTATTTCTGAGTATCTACTGTATGCCAGAAAGTATGCTAGATTCTTTAATCAACAATTCTTACACTTGGGACATGCATGTGGAGACTTTATGTATACTATAACCTTCCTGGATTTGTAGGAAAAATTCTGCACTGATGATTCTCTGAAGAAGGTAATCTACAATTTTAATCTGGTCCTCAAAGAAATCATTAGTCTGAAAGAGTTAAGAATATAGCTTTATCTGGGTGCAGGGATGTACTACTGTAATCCCAGCTACTCAGGAAGTGAAGATAAGAGGCTCATACTTGAAGGCCTGCCTTCAAGGACAAAAGTGCATGGAGAGCCTATTTGAAAAATAAAATAAAAAACAAAAAGAAAGGAGTCATGGATTAAGTGGAAGAGCATGTTAGTAAGGGTGAGACCCTGGAGTTCAAAGCCCAGAATGATAAAAAACCCAAAATACAAAAAAAACTCCAAAATAAGCAAACAAAATAGAAGAAGGAGAAGGAAGAGAGGAGAGAAGAAGGAGGAGGAAGAGAAGGAGATGAAGAGGAAGAAGAGTAAGAAGAAGAGGAGGAGGAGGAGGAGGAGGAGGAGGAGGAAGAGAAGGAGATGAAGAGGAAGAAGAGTAAGAAGAAGAAGAGGAGGAGGAGGAGGAGGAGGAGGAAGAGAAGGAGATGAAGAGGAAGAAGAGTAAGAAGAAGAGGAGGAGGAGGAGGAGGAGGAGGAGGAGGAAGAGGAGGAGGACAAGGAGGAGAATTGCTTTCCTTTAGCTAATGTGAATTAATTTACCAAGGCTATATAGTTAGAGGTGTTTCAACTTCATGTTTACTTGGTCCCAAAGTCTATATTTTCTGTTGGTAGGCCTGAAGGTGAGGAGCCATTTATGTCCTAATTCAGTGGGGGGCAAAGAGGAGGTGGAGCGTGGGTTAGATAGTCCTCCCACCAGTGAGGTCCAGCTGAGATGACAGCCCTGGGGTTTTACCTAAGATCAGGAGCTGGGTGTTCTCAGTCAGTTCACCATGAAGATTGGCTGCTCTACAGGAATACAGGCCTTGATCGGAGAGGGACACATTTGTGAGCAGCAAGGAGCCCTCATACAGATGGTGAGAGGAGCCCAGTTTGCTTCTATTCCTGAACCAAGTCACTTCCGCTTCAGGCACACCTAGGGAACAAAATGAAACAAAACAAAACAAAATTCATCAGCTAAACATATTCAGGTGAACCTACTTACGCCTCTTGGCTAGTGCTCTGTGAGACTACTCTGCAGGAAGCATCTGCTTTAGGCGTCTTCTCCCATCCTTTGGCCAAACTAAATAATGCCTCAGATCTCTCAGGGAGCTCTAGATCTTTTGCTTTTTAAAAAGACTTCCAAAGAGAGGCAGGAAGAAAGAAGCCAGTTAAAAGCAGAGGAAACAGCGGCTGGTCAAGGGCATTTGCCAGGGTAGAAGATACTTAAAGTCTTTGGAGAAAACATTATAAAAACCAAATGTATGCATTTCTGAAGGTGAAAAAAGGAAAATACACGAGACAAACATGACCCTGAGGACAAAAAGCCAGATGTAAGAAAACACTCAGTATTATTTTATTTCTGTAAGTCAACGAAAGAGATTAGTAATGTTAATCTGAAAACTCTATGTAGAAAATATGTGTTTCCAAAGGCCCTGTGTTAATGGCTTTGTCCCCAGGAGACTGCTGTGTGTGTGTATGTGGAATCTTTAGAAGGAGGGCATAATGAGAGGTCTTTAGGTCATTGGGAGCGTGCCTTTAGAGGGGATTGTGGGACACCAACATTTTCTTGATTTCTGGCTGTGAGATGAGTAGGTTTTCTTGATCACATGCTCCTGCCATGATCTGCTCATTGCCATAAGCTCAGACCAATGGGCCACGAGTCCAAGCCTCTGAAACAGAGTCAAAATAACCTTCCCGTTTCTTCTTCCTCTCCCCCACTTCTCTCTCTCCTTGCATGTGCACTCAGGGACTTGTGCTTGATAGGTAATTGCTAGGCCACTTGAGCCATACCCCCCAAGTAACTTTTGTTTCAGTTATTTTCTGGGTAGCTTCTCCCATTTTTGACCCAGCTGGCCTTGGATTGTGATTCCCCCTATCTATGCACCCTAGGTAGCTGGGATCACAGAAGTGTTTCTCTACCTAGCTTATTGTGAGATGAGGGTCTCATTAACTTTCTGCCTGGGCTACCCTTGAATAGTGGTCTTTCCAGTCTTTGCTTCCCAAGTAACTATGATGACAAGATTGAGCCAACATGCCTGGTTAGACTTTTCTTCTTTTGTGTGTGTGTGTGTGTGTTTGGGATCTTGCAATATTTAAGAACAGATTTCGAAGGGAACAGATTTTAGACTTGTCTTCTTATGAGTTGTTTTTCTCAGGTATTTTGTTGTAGTGGTAGAAAGTTTTGTATTTTCTCAAAACATAGATGGTGGCTTTTACAGCATAGCATATGGGCCAAAGGTGATTTTTTTCCTTCTCCACAACCTATTTCTTACCTGTGAGTGAGCTGGAAAGATAGTGTGCTGATTTGGGATGGATGCCTGTCTTTGCAAACTAGATTCTATGCCTCAGGGACAGTCTAAATAACTTGGAAAGTGTCCTTGTGGTTGTTAGGCAAGTGATCAACTCTGGTTTAGGGAAAGCCTTCCTAGATGGTCTTCCTAAGGGGCTCCAGATTGCTCTGGGAGACTGAAAGTCTGAGGCATTGATTCAAAGATCTCCAGGGAGCAGCATCTATGTGGGGTATGTTCAGAATGTCAAATCCTGGAAAACGGGGTCAATGCCAAGAACAGCCAAACAGCCAGACCTTTAGCTTAGCACTTTTCCTGAGCCATGATTTTGCCCTTAGGACAGGAGCAGTGTTAGCTTTCATGGCTTGCCCATGTTGGGGGATAATGAAATTGTTATGCAGTTACTTATATCTGTTATTGGTCCTTGCGCTGTCTAGAGGTGGGACTCAAGAAAGGGGGTGGAGATTTGCATAATACAGCCTTGCCACACCTAAAGAGGAGTGCACTAATTTAGCTCTAACAATATGATAGGATGCATGATGCTTAAGGGCACAAGAGCCTGGCTGGCATTTCTCTCAGTGTACCTAGAGAAAAGATGCAGGTGAAGAGGAGAAAAACTGACTTTTCATTGTAACACCACTAGGGAGAGCAAGAGCATCATGATGCTGCCCATGCCAGCTTGCATGTTGGACCCTGAGTTTAGATTTTACATTCACATGTTCCTACCGTTTCTCACAAAAGCATGCTAGAAAATGAAGTCCTATAAACTATTTCTACAAGTATTTGCTCCCTTTGTCTTGAATTGCTACTGTAGCATTAACTGGGGGCATCTTCCTTTAACAAGGGTGGTGGGGCAGTAAATGCAAAATGCCCCAATGGGATATAAAAGTTGCTCTAGAATAAGACAGGTACCGAAAGAGAAATGGACTGAATCAACCATTAGTTCCCCTGACAAAAGACTGTTGCCTAGGTGAGCAATGGGGAGGGGAGGGGAAGAGGTAAGCGTGAGTTCGAGCCTTCCCTATGACTGTACTGATGATACTGGCAATGTGTATTCCCAGAGGCAGTAATCCTGGCTCTTTGTGTCACTCTAGCAGTAAGGCTACCCTGTTACTCATCAGAGTGTTTCTTGGTCAGGGCCTAGACTCCTGCAGGACAGTGAGAGGCAGAGATACATAGAGGAGAGAGAAAAATCACAGCCAGAGAGGTGGAGGTAGAGAAGCCAGGGATGGAAAGAGATCTGGGAGCTATTTCTGGGCTTTTTCAGGAATTGATTGTGAGTTTCTTAACTTCCCTACATTACTCTTTGTCCCATTCATACACCCACCCAATTAGGCTTGTTGTGAAGCCCAAGATTTGATGTGTCTCAAAAGAGCTGAATTCCTTTGGTAGAAACAGGGAGCTCATGGGAGAACAGAAATGTTCAGGATAACAAAAGGTAGAAGGCAGTCACTTACAGCATGTAAAACTGGAACTAAGCTGGGTGCTGGTGACTCAGGCCTGTGATACCAGCTACTCAGGAGGCTAAAATCTCAGGATCATGGTTCAAAATCATCCCGGGCAGGAAAGTCTGTGAGACTCTTCAACAAACTACTAAAATATGTTGCAAGTGGAGCTGTGGCTCAGGTAATAGAGTACAAATAAAACCTTAGGGACAGTGCCCAGTTCCTGAGTTCAAGTCCCAGGATTAGCACAAAAACCCAAACCAACCAATCTCCAAACCCTGAAACTATATGAGTGATAGTATTCCCTGAGGAGAGGAAATTATGTGGGAGTCACTCTGCAGTGCATTTATTAGCAAACCTCTCTCAGACTTACTTGACACAAGCCTGCACCATGTGTTAGCTGATGGTTTACTGCAAGTGCTGCATTTTGGGGATTTCCTGCCTGGGACTGTGGACCTTAGGCAGAGAATGACACTTAAAAGGTGTTTGGAATGACAACCAGTCCTTCTAGGACTGCCTCTGACATTATAAACAGAATAAAGAAAGAGGAAAAACAAGAGGCACCAGAGCTCATTTTCCTTCTCTTAAGGTATGACAGTAACCTGAGAGAAAACTTCATCAGCCCTTGGCTGGGCCAAGAAGAAGTCACTTGGAAATGTATCAGATATGCTTGGCTAATCCTGGTGTTCAGAATCCCTTGACATCAGGAGTGTACTGAGCTATGCTAAGATATCCCGCACATTTGTTATAAGCCAAACATCTTTGAGTTGTAATCACTTTTCACAATCATCCTGTAGTCAGTTACTATTATCAATGCTGTCATACAGATGAGAAAAATGGGGCTCAAAGAGATTAAGAAATCTGTCGGAATCACATGAGTTTGGATCCCTGAATGATGACACGGTAAGGGTTCCCTCCTATTTATTTTCTGCCCCTTGGTGAATCATACAAGCACCAATCATAGTGTGGAGATGTAACAGAGATAGCTTTAAGTCTAAGATACCCCATCTTTTTTTGTACTTTTTATTGTAAAAATACTGTACAGAAGGGTTACAGTTATATGAGCAAGGTAATGAGTACATTTCCTATCGTGCATTGTTGCCTCCTTCTTTGTTTTTCCCCTACCATCCCTTCCCTCCCACCTCCACAACTACCCCTCACCCCCCAGCAAAGTTGTAAAGTTTGTTTTCAACATAGTGTCTTGTACATCTCATTGTTACAATGGGTCAACCTGTATTCCTATTTAAACATTTTGTTTTTTCTCTTCCCCTCCCCAAATTAAAAAGATGTATATACAAGATGGAGGGCACTGGAATCAAATACAGTGAGAACAGGGGCTATACCGTGGGGGATGAACATACCAAAGAAACAACAACAACAAAAAACACATAGTACATTATAATTACATAAAAAACAACAGCAAGCAAGAAAGAAAACCATGGCTTCAAGCCACAATGCTCAGATCTCAGCCTACTGAGTAGCTAGGATTACAGGCGTGAGCCAGCTAAACGCCTGACTAAATGTTTGCTTCACTAGGCTTTGCATAATCTTTTTCTTATTCATTTCACTTTCCATATTCTTCTGTACCCTTTTAGTAGGTAAAAAGTGGAAATCACACCAACCTAGATTTTAAGATACCCCATCTTTACAAGTACACCCCACAGCCTGCCACTGTCACCTCACTACTCTTCAGAGAAAGTCTAACCTACTGTGGTTTTATTTGTTAAACTATCAAATCTTTAAGTGCTTCCTACTTTCAGAATTTCTGCTGTCATTGTAACACCATGATCACTGCAAGGAGGAAGAGTTCTAGAATCTCTAAGTGCTGGCTTTGTTAGCTTTCTCTTGTTGGAAATTATGGTCAAATTGTGGACATAACTTTTTTCCCTCACATATTGCAACATGGCAGCACCTTCATTTGTTTTCCTTTCATGAATTAAAAATTTTGTCATCATTAAGATGAGATACAGAGGGGTTACGGTTACTTAAGTCGGATAGAAAGTACATTTCTTTTTGAACAATGTCACCCTTTCCCCTCACTCTCTCCCAGTTGTTCCCTCCTGTCCCCACTCCCAAGTTGTACAGTTATTTTCAACATAGTGTCTAGTGAGTACCACTGCTGCATTTTTTCACCTTTTGTCAGACCATTTCTGTACCTCCACTTGCCCTTCCAAAGACAGAGAAATGAACAAATTAGACTA